TACACAACTCATTATTTTATATACTTACATGTAAAAAAATGAAAACCAGCTCGCAAGCAATATTTTAATATTTATTGATCAAAACATAACTCAGCCCTTCTCTGGGCAAGACACAGAACAAAGATCTGGTTAAAACTCTCTCTCCTGTGACGAAGCAAAGTGCCAATAACAGCGAATGTGAACAGAAAGTTATCGCTGNTATACGCATAAGCATATAAATGCGTATTTGAAGGGGAACGACCATTGTTAAGAAATTGTGGTAAAATAGTATCAACATTTCTGTTGTTGCTTTAATAAATAATTAAGCATTGTGAATTGTGAGCTCTAATATTAACACGATACGTATGAGTGATCAGTAACAGAATATTTGGTAAGTCCCGTATCAATAGAGTCTCTCCACCGGCCTATATCATAAACGCACCAACACTATACGGCTTAGCATGTACAATGTAACTTGGTGTGCACAACTAACGACGGATTTACATGGGTTTCAAAATGAAGCAATAAATTCCGTTGATGTACACAACTCATTATTTTATATACTTACATGTAAAAAAATGAAAACCAGCTCGCAAGCAATATTTTAATATTTATTGATCAAAACATAACTCAGCCCTTCTCTGGGCAAGACACAGAACAAAGATCTGGTTAAAAGTCTCTCTCCTGTGACGAAGCAAAGTGCCAATAACAGCGAATGTGAACAGAAAGTTATCGCTGGGCTGCATTAGCATAACGGCACGGAATTTTCGTTTTACAGCATACAACAGCTGTTTTCAAATACATCAATACGATAAAATGTATCGTTAGAAAGAATATATATATATACGCATAGTGTACATTCCCAACAAAATACAACAATACGTAAAATTCTCAACCCAAATCAATCCAGCAGTGTCGAAATGTTAGGTATTCTCTTTTTTATAGACAAAGCTCTTTTTACAACCCTGTACAAGTCCCTTATCCGTCCACATTTGGAATACGCTACGAAAGTGTGGTCACCGTCTCTTAACAAGGAAAAAATACTATCGAAAATGTCCAACGAAGAGCCACTAAAAAGGTAATAGAAATACAGTATATGCCCTACCATGAACGCCTAAGTACATTA